AACTAAAACAATGCATTTCTCACATATGGTGCTATTTATTTTTAACAGCATAATTTCAGTGCAATACCCAAGTGACAAGAACAATCAAGCTTGATTTCTTTGTGCAATTATAAAGAACCTTAGAGTGTTCAATCAATCAAACTAGTTGCTTCTCCAAACCCCAACTAAATGGAAGGAGACATCATTGGATTAAAAAATAATGGTTTGTCCCATTGTTTTGGCAAAGGGGCAACAAATTTAATTTGGGTTTTCTGAACTGAATTATTTAAACGATTAGCTGGTGCCTAATTATGAATCAAAAATACTTAATGAATGTTTACCTGCCACATAGAGGTGTCGCGAAGATTAATTAGGTAAGGTTTATAAAATGCTTTGAAGATTAAAAACACCAGTTAATAATAATTGGATAAAGTATGAAAGGATACTGAGCACTAAAGAAGCCTGGCAACAGGCTAAAAACCCCTTTTTATGTGGGATAAGTTCTCCTTTGTGCAAGCTGTGTCACTGGATACCTAATGCAGATGCACTGAATGACCTAAATTTAGGGTTTACAACAATATAGTTTACTTCACTAACTTGCCATTACGTTGGCCAGTTGCAAGTCCAAGCAAATACGTCATCTGAAGCAATCAAATGCTTGTGATCTCTCATATGGAGTGTTAATCAGACGTCCACTGCAGCTCACCATCCAGGACGCTGCTTAAAGGGGGACGGGATCTGTAGGGAGAGAGACTATTTCTCATTAGACCTACCAATATACTTAGAAATACATGGATGGACTGTGGCCACACACGTGTTTTCCAGTGTCGCTGCTACTGTAGCTTATTTTTCTTCCTGCTGCGTAGCTTCCATTTCAAGTGAGAAATGCAGGTATTTTGCACGCCACAGCAATAGCGCTGCCGTGCAGGCTACGGTGTGTAGATCACCTGGAGAACCCCAGCAAAGCCATGGTCTCATCCTCACCGTTGCCTTCCCAGCGGACGAGCTCCTGCCTGTGAGAGACATGCAGAGCTTGCTCTTCTGTGAAGGCAGCTGTATAATCCCTCTGCTTCATTTTGGAAATGCTGCTGAATTACGGTGTGAGATTCCCACAGCTTTATGCTATTCTTAGAGCAGCAATGACTGTACTTATTGCAGGTAAATGCTATATCTTAAATGCAAATCATTTCTTACGTCTGTATTCAATTTTCTGGTTACTCTCCCAAATGACTGCTACAAAATTTAATGCTAATTATGCCACAGCTGGGACTTGAAAAGTTTGGCTCTTTGAAGACTCTTCTCCTAGACTTTTTTTTTTTTTTAATATTTTTTTCTTTGGTTTTTTTTCTGCTCTTACCTGTGCCGCTGGTTGAATACATGAATATACATTTACCCTTGCCTTCCCAGGTCTGTTTTCTAATTCACAGAGGCCTCATGCAGCAAATCCTTTTGGCTAGCATGGGGCAACTTGCCTGACTCAGATGGACAGCATGTAGTTCAAAGCAGAAACTAAATGCATGTATGTCATAAAGCTGCCAGGAAAACAGAAATGTTTGATTTATACCAAAATTCTTCCTTGACCAGCCTGTAATACTGTATTATAGTTTGTTACAATAACTTACATTCTCACTGCCTGACTTTTCCTGGGTGCAAAGTCAGTCGAAAGGGTTCATTATTACTTGTAATTTGTGCACATTACATAATAAACTATTTCATTCAAACGGTTTCAGTGCAAGATTCTCCAGAACAAATCCAGGGTGCTGCAGGTCACAGCGGGGGGTTATCAGAAAGCCTGCACACAACGCTGGCGGCTGACGTCAGCGGTGCTAATCTGTACTTTCTGGAGCACTGAAATGGCTCACAGACTTGTGGCGAGGATAAATACAAAGAGGGAAAAAATCACCGTTGTCTTATTTCAGCGTTTTGTTTTTTTCCTCTGTGTTAACAGGGGACACAGACACACTTTTACATACGGATCACATTTTGTCTTTTTTCACAGCCAGAATGCACTTGCATCTGTCTATTTATCTACACGGCCCATAGCACAGCAGATAGATGGGTGTCTCATTAATGAATTTATCTTTTCAGCACTGCTGCAAGGCAGGGAAGTACTATTACCACCTCAGCCACCTCTACCACTGGTTTAGAGATAAGGAAGCGAGGTGCACAAAGAGTGGGTGATTTGCCCAAGGTCAGGCAGCAGCCAGGGAAACTGAGGCACCGTGCGTGCCTGGCTGGGGCAGTCCAGCAGCCACACTCCCAAGGAGCAACTTTGATGTACTGGGGCCAGTTACACTAGTAAAAGGCAGAAGCGAATGGATGCAATAGCTTATTCTGAGCACTTAAAGGTCTTCTACAGAAAATTGTTAGAATATTTTTTCAGTTTGTTCAGCCGTGGGTGCAAATGTTCCTTGGGACACAGGTATATACATGAGATCGAGTCACCTCAAAGTAAAGAAGGTCACTTTTCCGCAGTTCAGTGTCAGGAAACGGCCACAACAGCCTTTTGCACTGGGTGTTAACAGCACTGGGAATGCTTCCCACGGCACGAGCAGTGCCGGCATCCCTCCTCCTTGGGCAGCGAGCGCCGGTGCCAGCCGTGGGGTCAGCTGTGCAGGGGAGTGCCCCAGGAGGGATGGGTAGGCTGCGCTGTGTCTCCTCACCAAACCATTTTCCTTCAAGGCTTTCTGCGAGCTCGCGCACACCCACTGAGCTCCAGTGCTCATTCATCTCTTCTGCTCTGTGCCCCCCTACTCTAATTCTTCCCAGCTTGTGGGGCTCAAAACACCTGTGAGGTACACTCACAAATACCTGTATTTTAAATGTAATTTTAAAAAACCATGATTCATTCCAACAATCTTTACCGATACATGCAGAGGCACTGAAGTCAGCAGTTACCTGGAGTAAGAGGAAATTCAAGGTGCAAGTATCACATCAAGAACATACCATAAGAATGAAGCAGAGACCGCTGAGCTCCAGCTGCCGTCCTTCTCTCTGTGCCCATCCTTCTTCCTTTGCATACAGCACATCTTCTTCTCTGGATAGTGTTTGCTCCACTCTTCTGTGTCATTACAAGTGTATGCTCACAAACGTGCTTTGGAAGCACATTACTTCACATCAGATCTCGTTCTCTAGGTCAGAAGTTCACCAGGATACAAGAAATTCCCGACCTCTGCATTTTGTCCAGCACAGAAAGCACCAGTGTCCCTTAAAGCTGTAAATAAATAAACAGAACAAATCCCCTAAAATACACACAACATGGCTTTTAAATAAAGGAAGGGAAGGGATTCATCTAAAACTCTACGTAAAAGCATTTTCATGTTGATCTCCTCTTCTCCTTCTCTAGCACACTGCCGGCACACTGTTCCTCCCCGGGGACCTGCTGCACTGGGCAAGCCCCAGCGCCTTCCGCAGGGATGCTGGGGACACGGGCACCTGAACGGGAAGGCAGGGTCAGCCCCTCTGCTCGGCTGCTGCCGCATATCTTGGGGGGAAAAAAGACTTTGGACAATTTTAATGGTGTCTCTCTGGAATCCTTGTTTTTAGAAGCCCGACAATAACTAGCTCCAAATGTAAATCAGACCGTGTCATGCCATATGTTTTATTTTCTTCAAATACCTTTCTTTTTCTGGGTGTGCAGCCCCCACTCCCCCATCCCTGCTTTCTGGCTTGTATAGCTCCCAGGTAGAATTCGAACTACAGGAGGGCACTGGCACGCGAGTTAATAAATTTATCCTTTGACTTTCACCGCTTCCCCTGCTGTCACAAACCACTTTTGATCTTAAAAAGTGAAACAGGAAACCTGAGCCAATGCAAAATAACGGTGGGTTGTTTTTTTTCAACGTGATATATAGCCAAATGTATATAGCACCAGGAGGAAGCATGTCCCCAGAGTGGGACTATTAGAGATAGTTCACTATTGCTGGCTGAAGAAATGCAAAGCAACGGCAGCAGTCACGCTCCACAGAATATGACTGATATCTGAGAGTAAATTATTGTCAGTGTTTGATAATAATTTTCAAACCTTAGCTCAAATATCTGAATGCTTTCAATATTGGCAGATGATAGGTAATGGCACAGAATAAGAAGTTACCATTGTAATTGGCTGTGTATATTTTATTAGGCTCAGATTATGCTTAATCTTATCACTGAGGTGCTTAAATTAAAGACAGCTTTGGATAATCATGTCCCTTTAGTCAGTGGGAAGAGCCTGGCAGGTACAGAGGGCAATTCAGATCTGAGATGCCTGAACATCCATCTGTAAGTTGGGAAAGGTAAACCTGGTGCAGCCTCTCCCAGCCACGACTCAAAATGCTGTACTTTAAGCCATTTAGGACCAACCCCTTTTGCTTTGGGATTTCCTGTGTTTGGGGGATTCAGGGATTTAGTGGAAGCTGTTAATAGGTAGAAACGTGAAGGTCAAAAACCCCAGAGAATTTGATCAAATCATGTATATCCTGCATATGTATTTCCCTTCAAGAATGAGGGAGAAGCTCAAGCCCCAAAGAAGTGTCCAGTACATGCTGGAGGGGTAGGGCAGAAGCTGTCAGGACAACGGCAGCTCAAGCTGTAGCTGTTTTGGATGAAGGTGCTGGTGTGTGATGCCCTGAGCATAGCAGGGTCTTGCTTCGAGGTCAACCTAACATCTTCTTGACCCTCTGTGCTCTGCCAGCCTTTGCTTTCTTCTGCCACAGATGAAGCATGGATGGGAATGGCCAGCTGGCCTGGCCCAAAGTGTGCTTCCCAGAGAAGGGATCTAGCCTGTTTCCATGCTTTCAACTTTTTCATACAAACCAACCAAAAAGAGAGGAAAATACTTTGCAATCCAGTTATTGTGTTCTTTGAGAATTTTATCTGTGTCAAGTCACCTCTCTAAACTGAGCAAGACATTTTCATGCCCACCTGCACAGCTTTTTCGCTGACCCTCCAAGTGCACCACACTCAAAGCCTTGGAGTGTAATGATTCTCCGCAGAACCCTACTGCATTTGCTGTAAACAGTTTCTTTCATGTGCATCCTCAGATGAATAAATGCGGGACACAAGCTCCGGTGTGGCTGTCGCTGAAGTCTGAATCCCTGCCGGTTCCCGGCGAGAGCAAGCGGCTCACGGCCTGTGCTACCTGGCAGGTCTTCTTCGGGGGCACCAAGGACTGCTGCTTGTTTCGGATACCCATTGCCGTCAGGAACTGCGGCGAATTCTTTGTGTACCTCCTGCAGCCTACTCAAGGATGCATGGGCTACTGTGCAGAAGGTGAGGATCAGTAGTATTTATCAATAAGATTGCATATGTCTCTCTGGCTGTGTGTTCAAAGGTCCTGGTATTGCAACACACATCTCGGTGACCTTGCGAGTCAAGCATCTCTCCCAGTAAGATGCAGACCATGTAGAAAATAAATCAGCGGCGGTCCAAGGTGTTCCTGAGGAATAGCTATTATTACCAGCACAAAATGTAATCTGGTGTGTATTACTGAAGTGTTCTTTGCTTGGTTACAGTTCACGTGTAACCTTTCCTACTGTCTTTGGCTCCACTGTGGCTTGAAGTTGCACAGCTAGTGAGCGGAGGCATCTCGGTTTTATTGAGGCGCTGTATCCAGGATACTGCATCTAAGGTCTGTTCTTATCTTCAATAATCCAGTATACCCCCCAAAAAGGTAATTCTGAAACTCTGCAAGGAAAAAAACCCCAAACTGATAACATCTTTTTCATGACATTTATAGAATTACTCTCGTCAGAAATAATTTTCAGCCTACTACAAGAGCTCTAACCTCTCTTCGGTAGCTAGGAAACAAAGGAATAGCAGAAAGCAATTGCTCACTCAGTTAAACCTTCTGAACTTTGGAGCATGTTCAGGTGCATATAGATTTAGTCAAGAAAGACAGCTCTTTCTCAAAAGGAAAAAACTACCTTTATACTTCCCTTTCAGCCTTTTTGGACAGAGACATGACACACTGAGAAAGTAGGGTTATCACCTTTCAATCAGGCAAAATTCAAGCTTAAATAAATTTTAAAGTGAGAGATACCTATTTTCTTATCTTTATCAATATTTTAACATTCCCATATGAAGAAGAGGGAGGAAAAAAGGCTCAAAGAAAGTGAGATTAATTCACTACTTGAAATTTTTAAAAAATCCACTAAAACAAAAGAAACTGCTCTTTAATTTGCATGATTCTTTCTCAGAAATTACTTTTTAACTGAATACAGTCATTTTTCACTTTAACCTTGGCTTTTTTTAAACTATAAGATTTCCACCACCCTTGTTCGAAGAATTTTTTTACCAATACATTTTGGGTGATTAGTTTTGTCCTTTCTGTTGATCCATACCTGTTTAGTAACGTAAATCTGCCTGCATTTTTCATAAAAGAAAGTTTATCCCTTCCCATCTATCCCAAACCAGCGACCTTCTGCCTTTTTCTTACCACTGCTGTTGAAGCTTTCACCTTTTTCCCTAGGCATTTCAGTGAGGTCCAGCTCTCCCAAGTCTCTAACTTCTTGTCTTGAGGTTGTATAGGATGGAAAACACCCAAAGCTGAGGGTTTTTACTGGGGGTTGTTAACTCACTGTATTAAATTCAGCCGTGAACATTGCACCACAGGAGCCTCTATGCAGCCCCAGAGCCGGGCCCAGCTGGCACCGTCACGGCTTCTTGCCGGGGTCCATCCCCCAGCCCCATCTGCTGGAGGCTCGGGAACAGGACACTAGTCAGCACATCTTAGCTGCAAAACAAAATGAATTTAAGGCTTCATAGCTTGGCAGGAAGGACACGGCTGGGAAAAGCAGCGTACGTGCTTGCAATTCTGCTCACATCCTCCCACGAGCTGATCACCTAACTTTGTCCTTCTGGAATAATTTCCTGCAGAAAGTCATGATGTGAGCCACAGTTTGAGGCAGCTTCCCTTAGAAACAAAAGAGAAAAGGGTATAAACAACCGGCCCTTATTCATATTTTCAGTAACTTGTTTCTGTTTCTTACCTCTTGTTATTTGCCCCGGGCAGATGTTAACATACTGGTTCTTCATTCTGCTGTAACAGCCTCATACCTTATTCTCTTGGGCTTCCATAATATCTTCTACACTCCTCCAAAAAAGTTTCTTAATTTATCCTTTCAACGCATCTGAACCAGCTTCATGTTCCATTTGAGTCTGGGTCTCTAGAGATGAAAGAACATCACCCTACAGTATTATACATGTCTTTGTTTCTACTTTCTAGGTGAGTTTAACAGGAAGAAAAGTTTCAGACTTTACTACTTGTTGAAGCTTATAGAAAGCAGGCTGTATTTTTAAAGCAATGGCATTATTCTGGGCAGAGGGAGACTATATTGAGCGGACTCAGCCTAGGTATATCCCAGAACAGCCTGGAGAGGATCTTCACAGCATGGCAATATGGGCTGGGTGCTCTCTGAGAGTCAGTTTACCTCTGCAACATGATGACTTCTCATATCTCTTCTGTACTTATTGCAAAACTTGGGTCAAAAGGCTGTGCTTCAGGGGAATACAAAGCTGATGTCCTTTGCCAAAGTAATTAATTTGTGTTAATCTGAGTGCTTCATTTCAATAACATTTCTCTTACTGCAAAATAAAAAAAACTCCCACACAAAAAGCAGTCCAATATTATAACAACAATGGGTATTCAGTACACAATTAGCAATTTTTGCATTTTGTATGAAATAAATTTTCTTGCTTGCATAGTTAATAATCAAATCACAAGAATATAAAATGTAGCGTTTCTCCCATGTTTAGTTATATGGAAATCTCTTTGTTGTGTGAACAACTGTAATATTAAAATAACATTTTGTGCTACATCCTTCTTTTGTTTTCTTCTTCCAGACAAACTCACAAGCCTGGCTTTGCAACCAGTGATAACTCCCGAGCTTGTGCAAGGTCGCGTCCACCTGAAGTGCACTTTCAGCCGCCCCTCCTCAAAGCTGCCGCTACAGTACATGGTGGTCTGGTCGCGCCTGTCCACCCCTGGCAAGAAAGAGCAGATTCAGCGCGACGCCACCCTGCAGTCATTTTCCTACGTCGAGATGAACGGCGTAAATCTCAAATTGGGAGACACGGTAATGCCGCCCTGCCTTCAGCATAAAAGGTCAAACGCTCCGGGGGATCAAATCCTTTTCTTAAATCTTTGTTGTGTTTTTATTAGCGCTGCTCCTCACTCATTATACTTACAACTACTGCAGAAAAAAATACTGAAACTGTTTCACAACTGGATTATTAAATAGCATTTACCAGATTCAGGATCTGTAACTTTCTTTGAATTGCAGTGAGTCCACAGAAGCTATCCATTTTACTATTTTCTAAAGGCAACTTGAATATTTGCACTTACTTTACAGCTTGAATGCCATGAAGTTGGTATGAGTAGTAGGCACATGTGCCCGAGCCAATTTTTGCTTAGTATTTTTTTGTATCTTGCAGCAGCAAGAATTTGCAGTAGAGGCAGACTCAACTATATGCACTCAGTAATTTTTATACTCATGGACCAGAGACACAATAACATCTTTTAATAGAAAAGAAAGACGGTACATTTTAAAATAGAGGGAGGTTTATTTTATGGTCTTTTTCATGGTGTTCTGCCTCTCTGATTCCAAATTCTTGGTTCAATAGCATACTGAAAGATAGAGTTCATTACAAAACAATCTTTAAGAAGTATATTTGATGGCTTACATAGCAACACAGATCTCATTTCAACAACAACAACAAAAGAGAAACCAATACAAGATGTGAAAAAAATTGACTTGTGTATGAATTCATGGCCTTTCATGGTGCAGAAACAAGACTTTTAAAGTTAAATTAGGTTCATAACTTTTATAGGCAGAGAGCCATTAGTGATGCTGCAATGAACTGAAAGAATAAACAGGGATAATGGCCTTGCGTTAAAAGTAGGTTGGAAATAGTCTTGGCATTTTGCAGCTCTTCTTTAAGATATTTAAGATATTTAAGAAATGTGAATAAGCTTCTTCCAATTCTTGAAAGGATGAGTCATTTATAACAGTAGCACAACCTAGATAGATAGTTTTTTCTTATTTCTCCTCGTAATTATGCCTCCTGAGTTCAGAATCTGATTGATGCTGCCCTCACTTATATTATAACATGAGGCAGACAATTCTGTCAGTTTAAGACAAGTTTGTGTTATGAAGAGATATTTTCATCAAAATAATTTTGCTTGCAATCACTTCAAATCTAGTTTTAACAATCCTGAGGGATTCAGAGAAAATATAGTTCTGTTAACTAGTAGCATCACCAAATCTTTATAAGACCATTTTTATTATATTAAGTTTTCAGTAAGTCCTTCTTTGTCCTCTGCTGAAACCCACATGTTTAATTTAGTGGGTTCAGTGAGACTAGAACATTCTCTTCCTTGCTAGATTTTTTTAAATGTCTTCATGGCCTATTTGACTAATTATAATTATCCATAAATCATCACTGGTGAAAACCAAGCAATGAAGCCTCAGCTGTAACTGGGAATTCAGTTTTACATAATAAAGACTAAAAAAAGCCTTTCACCACATTTGCCATCCCACTCTGGGTGACTAACAAGAGTCACAAAGGGGCAGACTCTCCTTTCACCTCCAGGGGAGTAAATCTGAAGCAACTTAGTAAATGTTAGTACCATACTACCTCAAAGGAAAGGTGGTGCCACTAAAGGTAGAGTCAGACCCCGGGGACCAAACTCAGCCACACAGAGGCAGTTAGTAACCTTCCACCCACCCAGAAAAAATGCAGGCGGAAGGCTTTTTTCTCAGGCAGCTTTGAAGGGAGGCCAGGTCCCCACTGATAAAGGCCATATTAGAGAGGAAACAACAAATGGGAGCCACTGTCTGGTTCTCTTTCCCCTTCTCCGTGCACAGCCCAGTGGTAGCATCCCCATGGCTGTGCACTGCCAGGGCAACGTGGATGACATTCAGATCAGAATTTGTCCCCCAGGATGCAGAATTTGTAGCGTTTTGAAAACCGCTCGCTTTTTTTAACCTACTCTTCGTCTACCTACATGTAGCCTGAATTTGGTCTCAATGTTTTTATAGCCTGAAATCAGCATCTTCTCCGTTCATTTCTTGATAAAAAAAAACTACAGCCAAGGAGAAGATTTTTTTTTAATCACCTTTTAGGTGATTGATATCTACGCTATTTTTTATCTGTCAAAAAGTCTCCAGGTAATAGGTTAGTCACATAACAGAATATCTATTGATATATTTTAATACGCAATCAAATCTTAGAGAAGAATTGAGATTTACTGGCCAACATTTCTGAACTTGTATTGACTAAACAACCAGTTATTTTTTAATAGCCATCATGTGTGCTTTTCTCCCCCATCTTTGGGCTCCAATTTTGTTATTTCAGATAGTAATGTTGGCAGCATAATATCCGCAAAACTATTGCAGCCTTAAATAAATCTATAACATACTGCTATTTCTATATAAACACTGAAAGAAGCCTACTCCATCTGATATGAAAATCCTGGCATTCCTAAGCCTTATTTATGTGATAGTGACAGAGGTCATTTCATTCCTTAAGGCACAGCCATCTATAAGTTATAGCGGCACACTGTGAGTAATGATTTATGCTAAGAAAGAAAGGTGTTTAGAAGAAAACCACGCAGATTTTGCTCAGCACAGCAATCCAAAAGTTCATACGGTGAGGAGCAATTGCCACCATGCATAATCTATGATGCACATTGTAAAATAAAAATGTTTAAGTAAAACTGGCCTTTCTGAGCTCTGTGCTAGAAGTGGCTGTTTCACGTGGCACTCTGCAACAGCAGAAGAATATGCCCCAGCCAAAACGACTGTAAATTAGTGCCTCAGTATAGAAAATAACTAATTTTCACTCACAAGGGAAGAGGAGTGTAATTTCCCCCTGCTTAAATACTAATCCCATCTCAACCACTGGACTTGACAAAATCAACAACAGAAATAGGAAGACTTGCCTATTTGTAGGTCACACCTGAGTTTACAATTTCTTTCTCAACCTTCAGGTAGAAAATTAGGAGCATCTGCGCAGAAACAGAGCTCTGGGTGGTCTTGGACAGAGATTTTAAAGCAGACAGGGTCAGATAAATGATGAGCAAAACTCTGCAGCTGATAAGACACCTCACTACTACCCCGGGAAAATTACTTTCCTTAGTAGTTGACCTACAGTCAGCCTCTACATACTGTTTGGCCATTTGGCAACTGGAAAGAGCTGCCTTCTTTATATATAACGAGTAGCAGAGTAACTAGAGCTGGAATTCCCGCAGTGTCAGGTCATGCTGCTGCACCAGCTCCCTCCCTTCTGCAGCCAAGAGCCCATCACAGGGAGTGGTTTGGGTTCAAAAGCTTTAAGGTCTAGATTATTAATTAACTCAAAGTCAGATTCTCCCTGCTTTCCCCTTCCTGCTAAGCCTTCTGGAAAGCCTTTCCAGGGACTTTGTTCCTACCCCTTTCTGCAAATACCTACAGCCAGATCATTTCTTCGAGCTAATGAGAACTATTTTTTTTCCTCCTGGCTTCCCTAGAAATGCCATCCTTCAGCTCTGCTCATCCTTTGCTCTTTTCATCAAGGCTGTAAACCACAGCTCCCTCCCGCGCACACTCCCCAGCTCCCAACAGAGCAAATCCTCGAGGCTTTTCTAACCCCAGCCCATTAGTGTTTAATAGAGCAGGCAACGGCAGCTCGGAGGCCTTGATAGCGATCGCGAGACACCCTTTCCCCTGGCATGATCGATTCCCTGCCCAACCCTTCACCTGCAAGCTATAAGTGTGACTGAATGACTCTTACCCTTGCAGCCCCAGCCTGCCTTTTGACACGGGTGATGTAGCTAGGAGGGTAGATCCAGTCCTGGAGCTAATAGAGTCAATCACCCGCAGCTTGGGCACCTGCACCTTACGAGCAGCACGCAGCCTTCCCTGCCCAGTGAATGGGAAGAAGTGGGTGTTCCTAAATGGTACCGTATGTTGAGAAGGGAGCTTCCCGCAGGTGGCTAACATAAATTACTGTGCGGAGCAGCATCCCTGAATTCCCACACTTCTCAGGAGATTGGATGTCTGGGTCAGGAAAGTGCCTCCATCTACTTTTTAATCTAGACCTTCAAGTTCTACTCAGATGTATGGGGCTGTATGTAGTCTTTGAAAGATTGCTACCAGTAAAAGTAAATATTTCAACTTTAAGCCATTGCTGTTGTCACTGTGGGGCCTCTGGCACTACAATACAGCTGGAGTGCTTGCTGAAGAGATGGGAAATGGGTAGCTGGTCCTCCCAGCTGTGAGTTAGGTGCATGTCCTGCCCTTCCCAATGGAACATCCCACCCCCAGGGTGTAGGCTGCACTAGGAGAGGAAGCAGGGACCACAGCCAGGGACCGGCACGTGCATTTGCTTATTTTCTCTGGTGACTGTTTTAGGTAAAACATGCGAGCGGTCCTGATGGGCAGACCCAAACCCAGTACTCCCATCTGCCAGCTCTCCCTATTTTGAGGACAAGTGCCATTGCCCCTGGGACGCTGTTGAGATGGGTGGTGGCACCATTTCTGCCGGTGCTTTGAGAAGCATACAGCTGAGGTTGGGCTTTCTGAGAACTCCCAAATTTATCTGGCAAACCTAGGAGCCTTCACAGGTACCTGACTGAAGAGCAGGGATGGGTTTTGAGCACAAAACACAAGTATCTCCTGTTTTGCCTTTGGGAACCCAACCCCTTATCTGAGCACGGCTGGGAGAGGCTGATGAAACTGGAGGCATGGCCATGCTGGATGCGCCAGCAAGCATCCCCCTCCGCCCCCCCGCCTCTGCACGTGCCGCCTTTGAAGATGGCAACAAACGTGAATGCGACTTTCTTTGAGCTTTTCTGTCTCTGCCCTCGACCCCATGTCTCTCACTACATGCTCAAGCTGCCACAGATGATCCCTGCACTACATTCAGAAGTAATTTGGGGCACAGAAAAGGGTGAAATTGGAGGAGGTTTTATGTTCGAAATGACTATAAACAAATGATTTGGGGGAGCTTTGGATCCTGAGAGCTCTGAAGAAAACCCACATTTTGATGTGCAAGTTGTTAGAGGGAAATTTGCCAGAGATGGTGACAGGTCCTAGGATTAAAATACTCTCCCAAAGTTTTTTCCCAGAGCTACCCATCCCTCACCAAATTAATGACTGAATTCTGCTTTTAGCAAAATATGCTGCTCACAGGGTTCACAGCAAAGTGGGAAGGAATCTGTTTGATTCCACGTAAGGGCAGAAATCTGCTCCAACACACAGGAAAGGAGAAAATTCTTAGCTACCAGGGACTTTTTCTATGAGAATTTTGTGCCTAAAGGTAGTTTTCTGCCCTATGGGAAGATCTGTTGGTGCACGGGGGAAAGGGAGCAGCCCACATCCAGAAGCAATCTGATCATCCTGTCCAAGGGCACCCTTACACTTCCGTCCCTTTAAAAAGGGACGATGAAAAATTATAATTTGATTTTTTTTAACAGATCCAATGAGTTTGCGGAAAAATACTGCCTAACCTGTCACAGCCATCAGCATACTGCTGTCAGTTATGCTTTTATCTCTTTGCTTTAAAAAGGCTGCATCCTGAGATGGGGGAGGGGAAGAAGAGAAAGAAAAAGTTGATTGCTGAACTGGAGAAAAAGAGCCAGTATTTAGCTGAAGGCAAAAAAACCTCCTCGGAGTGACTATCATAATAATTATGTGACAAACTGTCAACCTGTAGCTCAGTAGCCAATGAACATATCTGCTGATTGTGAAGTGAAGTGTGCACCTAGCAAGGTAAAGGCACTACAAGGGGAGGAATGATATAAAAGACAGAAATAAAATGTAACTCATGATGGCTGTCCGTACATTTCAAATTTGCAAAGTTCGTGCTAATCTCCAAAAGCCCTGAAGATAGAACTGGAACAGACTGATAGTCTAAGAATATCTCAGTGTATTGTTACGGAGTAATTTTTGATTTTGGTGTTCAGTGTTTTATCAATAAAATATCCCTCTAAAATATATATGTGAGAAAATACAATGCTTGCAGGGAATGAGGCTGGGTTCTGACATTTCCCAGGATGTCACCTGGGGGAAGATCACCAGGAGACGCCTCCGTCAGCGCCAGGCAACCTCGTGCATGACCCTGCTGCCTTTCATTACAGCTCCCTTGGCAGGAACGCTCCACACGGCATACTCAGAGGGACGTCTCCCCGTGAATATTTTTGGTAAAAAGCATCAAAGCCAAAAGTGCAAACAGCCCGGCAAGTGTAAATATAGTATCTGCAATGCAGCTGCATTGGATTTGCTCAATGAGCTCTGCAAGGGGATCATTGGTTTGGTTTTTTTTTCACTAGGGGGAATATACGTTACCTGAACTCTTTCTCTGTTGTCACCGCCTTGTCAGATCCCGATTTTGCAGACTCTTCCCGTGGCAGCTGTAGGAAAAGCAGCAGGAGGAAGATCAATGCTCACCTTTTGCCTTCCCAGCAGAAGAACTTTTTTGAAAACTTTGTAAGCTGAATATGAGCTTTTAGGGAATGCTTGGAGATAATAAATATCTAATGATAACAGGGGCTTATTGAGGAGACAACAACTTGTTCTCCTTTGGAGGCAAACTGGCTAACTACGAAGTATCTGAGGAATTTTAACTGTAAAGTATCTCTGTGAGGCCTGTGGGTTTTTTTCCCCCAGTACACCCAGTGCAACGTCAAAGCTTCCATCTAGCGAACGGAAAAAATAACACCATTTTCACTGGGCCAAAGTGGCTGGAGCTGCCAGCAAAAGAGTGAGAAACTTTATGAAGGTAAAAATGGTCCAAAAGGCACATAAACCTGGGACTGAGCTGGACTGGAAATGATCCACCTGAAGAGCACAGAAAACACCTGATTTTTCCCATAGCCATACAAATGACGCCGTATGGCCGATGGGGCATTTTCATTGTGCGCAAATGAGTTAGGAAAGAGGATTCTTCAGTTTGGAGGAAACTCATGACTTGATGATAATGAAGAGGGATTTTTAGGGTGGTAAAAGAAATATTCCAGAGTGCTATGCAACTCATGCCCACACGACCATATGAATCTGGGAATATCCTGGTTTTGAGCCTGTTTTGCTGATGAGGGTCATGCCTGAGCCGGCAGGTTAGAGCTACCGAGAGGAGCACGGCTGGTAGGTGGTGCTGGGAAATCCGTCCAAAGGAGTTTATCACAATGGAAAATAAATTAGATTGGTCTGATTCCTCCTCGTGGGTTACTTGAGGCTTAAAAAAGGCAGTAGCTATAAATATGCCATCTGACTATTTGGAATTGATTTAGTATGTCACAATCTGTTACTTCATTTCCGAGAAAAGGCCAAAAAAAAAAAAATTCAGAACTACAGTTTCAGAGCCTATTGTCGTTTGCTTTAAGGAAAATTTCTGTAGTTTAATCTTATGATCCTAGAAATGATGTTAGCAGTTTGGGTTTTCTGAAACCAATGAAACATTAAGATGGCAGATGGTGTGCGGGCTCAGCAGAGATAAAGGTTGCGTGCCTGTGCTAGGAATAAAACATAAATGGCCTGGTACATTCTGTTTGGTGGAGTTTTTTGTTTTGGGGGGATTTTTTTTTCTTTTTACAATAAAAACCCTGTAGGCACATCTGCATCGTCTTTTATAATGCAATAGGAAAAAAAAAAAAGGAGCTTCTTATACTGCTGACACAGTTTCTGAGACCGGATGACTGTCAAACTAATTTAAGTGAAAAAAACCTGCTTACAAACATGGTACAGAGAGAGGATATTTGATGCGGTGGACAGACTGAAGTTTAGGATCCCAAGGGCTAATGTCCTAATCCTGACAGTAACGTCCATGAACAATGTAATTCTCCCTCACTAAAATGAGTTAATATCACTAACCAAGGTGCTTGAAAAACTCCAGAAGAAAACACGTTGTAAGCATTCAGTGTTGCTAATTGTTGAGACAGAAACCATGTTTCTTTGCTTGTTAAATGCGTCAAAAATTCTTCCAAATCTCAAGATTTATGCATAAACATTTTTAAAGATTAAACCCCAAAAATATGTTTCAACAGTAGAAAAAAGGGTTAACAACTCTGACCAACAGGAAGATGCATAATTATATGAATTTTCTTCAAGAAAAGCTATAGCATATGCTGTTTATTTATTACAGGTCTTTTGCACTGTCACCGCTTTTACAAGGGACACTCTTGAGCAGCAGTCGTTGCCTGAAGAGAGCAAAGGTTTCTATGCTGGGATTAAGGTAATGCTGATAGCCCTGATTTACTGACTTGGCATATCCCTAGGGAATATTTATACATTATCTGACATGCCCTGAAAAACAAGACACAGAAACATAAGCTTTGATCATCATAACCAGTGCTGCATTTATGTTCACTTTGAGAAAATGTCTTAATAAATTATATGGTGTGGTGGGTTGACCCCGGTGCCCACCAAAGCCGCTCTGTCACTCCCCTCCTCAGCTGGACAGAGGAGAGAAATATAACGAAAGACTCGTGGGTCGAGATAAGGACAGGGAGAGATGGTTCACCAGTTACCGTCACGGGCAAAACAGACTCGACTTGGGGAAATTAATTTATTACCAATCAAATCAGAGTAGGATCATGGGAAATAAAACCAAATCTTAAAACACCTTCCCCCCACCCCTCCCTTCTTCCCAGGCTTAACTTCACTCCCGATTTTCTCTACCTCCTCCCCCTGAGCGGCGCAGGGGGACGGGGAATGGGGGTTGGGGTCAGTTCATCACACGTTGTCTCTGCCGCTCCTTCCTCCTCAGGGGGAGGACTCCTCACACTCTTCCCCTGCTCCAGTGTGGGGTCCCTCCC